GACGGTAAAAATGCTTTTTCAAAGCAGTGTTTCTCGACAAAATTATTGACTTCCTCCCGACGGCAGTTATGCTCCCTCGTATGCTCCTCCTCTCTTAGACACCCCTGGGGCGGATGAAGGATTTGGCGGTAGGGGTGCGTGAGGGTCCACCTCACTGCCCCCACCATGGTTGGGGTTGAGGTAATAGACAATTTTGAGAATAGGGACCTCTCAGAACGTTGATCCAGAATTTTATCTCGGTTTCCAAGAATCGCTCACCCTATCGCCGACAGTCGTGTCAGTTGTGGTTCACAGACGAATCGGGGTATCTTTCCGATTGCGCAAGGCAGCTAGCAATGCGCCCTGATTCGTCTGCGTCTGCAACGCATTCGGGAAAGTTGAACCAGGTTCAACCTTCATGATAACGTCGGCAACTGTCGCCGATAGGGTGAGCGATTATATGGAAACCGAGCTTTACCCTGACTATCGCACATAATGGGTTCCCTGAGTGGGCGGGGTCATGGGAGGAAAACATAATGTTTGCTTGTTCCGTCGCTGGAAGATTATTTTAGACGTTGGGGGGTGGGGGTGGTTTGCAGTTAGTCTTGGGGTTCTCCTAGCTTCGCAGAGTTTTGTTTTTTCTAGATGCTGAGAAATGCACTTACGTGCATTACGAGACTTCTATTGATGAATGAATACACACTGAATTAATATATTTCCCCCATTTTAACAAATAATAATTGCGATGATGAAGGTGATGATGATGATGATAATGTGATGATGATAAGGAGAAGGCATTGTAGTAGGTGACGACACGCTCCTGTGCAAGGTTAATTAACATACCCTTTGATATGAGTGTCAACCGAGGTTCGTATCCCGAGTTCGTCATCACATTTTCAATGCACACAATTGCACAACAGTAATTATCTATAAGTTGTATAATAAGTACATTCTCGACTGTCATGAAAATATATATCTAAAAAATTACGTTATATACATGCTCGGAAGCGGAAATTTTAACCTAAAAGTTTGATATAGGCCCTATGTTTCATGTTGTTTGTTGAATGGTCTTTAGTGATATTATATTCTAATATGACCACAACATAAGGTGTTCGTTGACAATCAATAGAAAATTCAAAATTAGTGAGTGGTAAAATAATCGAGCTCTCTTTTCGCCCTCTGCTGGATCCGTCACTGAACTCATGGGTACACTTTGTTTTTTTCCTCTTTCTTTCTTCCCTTTAACTCTTCTCAATTTTTTTTTTATTTTTCGGCGTGACTGACAGGGTGGGGGGAACGGGCCCCCGTGGCCACCCGCTGGATCCGCACCTGAACCTACCTAGGCATATAGGTTGGCAAATCAGACAAACTGTGCTTAGCCCAACTAGCCTTCAATTAAATAAAATTATACAAACTGCTTTTGGTTCAATGTCGTAATAATGTATTTACGAAAGTGCGTTCTACGCAATATTGTTATAATAATATATTGCTTATGTTTTTGTTTTTTGTTTCTCTATATAATGGCCTAAAGAATGAGATAAAATTACCTGATCTTTTTCAAGAGGAGAAAACCTTGAATTTTGAAGAACTTAAAGGTCATTAAAAACTCCTCAGAAGTCGGGAAAGCTCATTTCCGGCCACCTAGGAAGTTCCCAGGACCCCTTTTAATGTTGGGTTTGTTTTTTAAAGACATTTTAAACTATTCTCTTTCATATCCTGGATCCGCCCCTGGCTAGAGTGCATTTCCCTTGTATTTCGAAATTGTTTATAAGTACACAATATGCTTTAACCAACACATCG